GGATGGAGCACATGACATGACATAAATATTTATAAACATTCAACCGAAGCCAAGAGTAACGAGTAACGTTTTTTTTTTTAAATGTAAGGAATAGAAAATATAGATACTTGTGTGAAAATGTAATGAGTAGAAGTCAGACGTAGGAAGAAAAATAAGTAATAGAGTAAAGTATAGATACCTAAAAAGTGTACTTAAGTACAGTAACAAAGTATTTGACTTTGTTACTTAACACCTATGGTCTCTGTCAGTAAACTTATGAAGAAAAAAACAGCCAGAGCTCAAAATGAAGCTATTTTATTCCCAGGAATAAATCCAATAGAACACTATGGGGTGAACTAAATAAAAAATAGGATAAAAGAATCATAAAACATTGTGAAATATAACAGCAGAAGACTATTGGCTGTCTATAAGCAGCCTGCACAGTCATTGGTGTACCTCTATAACAAAGTCACATGACCAATTTTCTTTTATAAAGGTAGAGATGTCTCATCAAACCCAGAAAGTCACATGGATGAAACATTTAGAAACTCACTGATTGGCCTTTTGAAGCTCTCTTTGTTTTGCAAGGTTGCTGTCCACATATTTGAGAACTCTGCTTTCAGGAACCCATTCATCCCAGCTGTAACAATGAAGAAGAGGACAGGACAGACTTTATGAAACACAGCCGCTCTGCTTTTATTCACATTATTTTAAAAAATGAACTCAGACAGCAGCAGATGTGAGGGAAAAGTCACCAATCAGCTCACTTTTTGTTCCAGCCGCTGTAGTGAATGAAGTATTTAATCTGCTTGTCCTTTATGTTGATTTTGACACACTGGAAAGAGAGAAAATAGAGCGATTTATTCACTTGATGCCTGACATTATAAAGCTAAAGAAAAACAGGTAATAATAATATCCAAAAACGTCATGAGGGAAACAAACCTTTGCTTCGTAGAGCAGTGGCCCATGAAAGCACAGGACTCTTTCACCTGGAAAACAAACATATATGACTGTAATAAAGCTTAAATACTGCATTTTCCTTTTAATGTGGTACGTAGTTAACGGTTAATTACTAGTTTATTACCAGCTGGTACATGGATCTACCATGGGGGTAATATAGCTCTCAGTTAGCAGGAAATATACGTTAAAATTCTTCAATTTTCCAAACGATTGGGAAGAAAAATTCATCCTCAGGTAGATTTTTAAGGTAAAATAATACTATAGCCTTGATGGAAGCCTTTCTGGACACTGGGTCCATCAGGCTGAACAATAACAAACCCGCCCCCCTCCTCATCCACATTCACAGCCACCATCCGCCTCGTTTTTTTTCCACACCGACCTTCTTGAAATTTCGGTTTAGGGTCCTGTTTTGGCGCCATTCACAGACTCAGCTGGTCGGATCTCTGGGTGATCAAACTCAAGCATTGCCAGAGCCCATTTCCTCCAGAAAACAGTCCCCTCCGACATCGAGGAAGAAGACAGAGATCTGCTTTGCTGCTGCGGGTCACCTGACCACCATGGAGCCGTGGTGCGTTCACGTGCTTAAACAAAAACTCGGAAACATACACATTTTATAATTGATAATCAAAATATACTATAATTATTCTCG